ATAGATCTGAACCCCGGTCTATCATGTGCCATCCTCACACTTCCTGACACACTCAAGCCAATTGCTGTAGGCACTGCCTATACGTCTGGTTGAGGGTCTTCCTCTCCTTCGTTGTCCCGCCACCTTCCCAAGCATGATGTCCCTCTCCAATGAATAGCCTCTCCTAGCAACATTCCCAAAGATGAAGCTTCATCATCTTTGCCTCCAGGGGCACTCTGAAAAACCCAGCGAAGTGCCTCTGCACTCTAGAGTTGTTGTTATGCGCCTTTGAGTCAGCTCCGACTTATCACAACCCTCTGCACAATAAAAAAGGAACGCAGCCCACTTCAATGCTGTCATCACAATCTCAGCTGCTTAAGCCCATTGTTGAAGTCACTATGTCAGTCCATCTTCTTGGGGGTATGGATACAACGAAAACAATAACAAACCTGGCAATACTAAGTCTCCCCTAACATAGGGAGCAAGGATTTCTCATTCATTGCTGGTGACAAGGCAAACAATAGAACCACTTTGTAAATAAGTTTGGCAGTTTCTTGTAAAGTGTTACGGTTTGACTCATGCAACCAGTTGTGCAACCATAGCGTGAGGCCTTTGCCTTGAGGTTAGCAGCACAGCTCCCTAGTAACTGCGTCACCACAGCTCACTATCTTTGTGCTTTTGTTGTGTGATGTTGAGGTGGAACCTACCCACAGCTGACCCTCCAGTGGGTAATCAGAGGCGGTAAATTGCATGGGAGAAGACTGCCCTACTTCCTCCCATGGAGCTACTGGTGGATTTGCGTGGGCAGCACAGTATCTTCCCACTAAGCCCGCAGAGCTCCCTGTCCTTCCACTACTAACCTTCGAAGAATGCTTCTTTCCCCAAGTAAATATTTCCTTGGCTTTTTATAGCTGTGGTTTCTCTCATATTTGTCCTTTTGTCATTGACCGATTGCACTCAGCGTAATATCCTCCTTTGAAATGCCATTGCCACAATAAAAAGAAATGAATTCTTAATACAATATAGATGAATCATATGCATTATGTTAAGTAAAAAAAGAAGTAAAACTCTGTGTGCAAGAGTAGCCTTTTTAACTCTGGACCATCTTGTGCTCTTCTATTTCTCACTCATATTTTCTTTCTCTTCACTCAGGTTCATAACCCTTTAGTTAGTGATTTCTTCTCCCTTCTGGTGTAGTATCCTCAAGTCTTCCCTCTAGTTACTGATTCACTCTCTCTTCCCCTTCCACTCCTCAGTCACTTGTTAACCTAGGGTCAAAACCAGCTCATCACTGGTTCTGCCATTGGGCTTCCGAGGCTGTAAAACACTGAAGGAGATTGCCCGTCTTTCTCCTGTGGAGTCACTGGTGAATCTGACTCAATGGGGAGGCTCGGCCTCTGGGTTAGCTGCACAATTCTCTACAGCCTACACCACTAGAATCCCCCTTCCCCACTCCTACTAACCTTCCAATACTGCTGCTTTCTCTGCATAAGCCTTTCCATGACTTTTAATGGCAATATTCTCATACAACACTTTTCCTTTTGTCATTGACCAATTTCATTCAGCTCCATGTCTTTCAGGTTCCTCTGTATTATATGGTGTTTGGCAATTTCATTGTAATTCTTCATTCATTGACACTTAGGTTGTTTCTGTCTTCTGCTATTATGAATAACACCATAACGAATATGTTTACAAAATATACCCATCTTAAAATTCAGTTAAATGATTTTGACAGATATATCCAGATAGTTCCCATCTTATGATAGGGTTCCAATACCACTACTCTGGTTTAAGTTAGTTCTGTCATCGTTGTTCTTATGCTTCATCGAGTCACTTGCAACTCACAGCAATCCTATGTACAATAGCCCTGAAACCTGCTTGATTCTGTGCCAACTTTATTGTCAGAGACAATACCCTCATTACCCCAGTCACTGAATCAATCCATCTCATCAATGGTCTTCCTCTGTTGTGCTATTCCTCCACCCTTCTAAGCCTGATGTCCCTCTCCAAGGACTGGTCCCTCCTTGCAACATGCCCAAAGTATGTCAGACGAAGCTTCAGAATTTTTGTCTTCAAGAAGTCTGGTCTCACTCTCTCTAGGACGAACTTGTTTGTTCTTCTAGCAGTCCATGGTATATTCAATACTCTTAGCCAGCACCACCGCTCAAAGGCATAAATTATCTTTCTATTATGCGTAGTTATTGTCCAGCTCTCTCTTGCATAGCAAGCAATTGCAAAGACCATGGCCTGGATCAGGCACACCTTAGTCTCCAGTATTACATCATTGCTCCTCAATACTCTGGAAAGGTCCCTGACAGTCCACTCTCCTCATGCAATTTCCCTCTTGCTTTCCTGGGTACCAAGAGTGTTGATTGTGGAGCCAAGCAGACTAAAGCTGCTAACAATCTCAGTCTCTTCACCATCTATCATAATGCTGTCAATCAGCCCAGTGGTTCTGACATTAGTTAATATTTTTTCATTTTCATTGTTACTCTTATTTTCTTATCTTTACTAGTCTAATCTTTGAACATTTATGAGTGAATATGTGAGAATCCGTACACATCTGGTTGTGCACCTGTCAAAATCCTGCATGCTGCTCCCATTTATATGAATTCCTAGAAAAAACAAAATTAAAATGAAGAAAGAAGATCAGTAATTGTCAAAGACTAGAAATGGAGTAAAGGGGTGGGATTTTCCTTCTGAGGTGAAGCAAATAAATCGTATCTTTACTGTGATGTTGTTGCATGAGTTAACATATGGACAGGAAGTACATGGAGGCAGTATATTAACAGCATACTTGAATTGCATGAAACCACATTTAAACTCTTCTGAGACTTTTTTGTGTGTGTAGTACATAAGATATTTTAGCATGTGATTTGCCTATGTCATCATTCTCAGAAGTTCACTTGCAGATAGTCAAAGATCAAGTTTATAAAGATATTAAAATTAAAAGGCAAAAATAATGAAAACTTAAAGGGGAAAAGTATCCAACGTACATCAGAACTGACTTACAAGAGAGTGGCTGTGTTGGAACCCGGGCATAAAGTAGGCTGACCAGTACACATTTGTCAAAACTTATTTAAGTTTAAAATGGGTACATTTTGTTATGTGTACATTTGACTGTGCAGATCATAACAAACTGTGGCTGACTCTGAGAAGAATGGGAATCCCAGAACATTTAATTGTGCTAATGCGAAACCTATACTTGGACCAAGAGGCAGTAGTCAGAACAGAGCAGGGTAACACTGCATGGTTCAAAATTGGGAAGGGCATACGCCAGGGATGCATCCTATCTCCATACCTTTTCAACCTATATGCAGAACAGATTATCCGGGAGGCTGGGCTCTATGAGGAGAAGTGTAGAGTCAAGATTGGTGGACGATTTATCAACAATCTGCGTTATGCGGATGACACAACCCTGCTTGCTGAAACTGAAGAGGACCTGAAGCGCCTGCCGCAGAGTGTCAAGGACTGCAGCCTGCAATATGGATTGAGGCTCACTGTCCAGAAGACAAAGATTCTCACCACTGGACCAATTGGCAGCATCAGGATGGATGGTGAAGAGATTGAGATTGTACACAGCTTTAGTTTGCTTGGCTCCACAGTCAACAGTCTTGGCACCAGCAGCCAGGAAATTAAAAGGCACATTGCCATGGGAAAGTCTGCTGTTAGGGACCTCTCCAAAGTACTGAAGAGCAATGGTGTCTCTCTGGAGACTAAGGTGCGTCTGATACAGGCCATGGTCTTCACAATCACTTGTTATGCATCAGAGAGTTGGACAATGACCAAGGAGGATAGAAGGAGAATTGATGCCTTTGAGCTGTGGTGCTGGAGAAGAGTATTGAGAATACCATGGAAAACAAACAGATTTGTCCTGGAAAGGGTTAAACCGGGTGGCTCCTTGGAGGCAAGGATTCTGCGGCTCCGTCTAACATACTTTGGGCATGTTGTGAGGAGAGACCGGTCCTTGGAGAAGGACATCATGCTTGGGAGGGTGGAGGGACAGCGCAGGAGAGGAAGGCCCTCTATGAGGTGGATTGATTCAGTGACTGGGATAATTGGGATGGGAGTGTCAGAAACAGTGCGATTGGCACGGGACAGAGCGGAGTTTAGGGCTGTTGTACATAGGGTCGCTATGAGTTGCAAGCAACTCGACGGCACATAACAACAACAACATTTTGTTATATGGTATTATGTCTGAACAAAGTTGATTTTTAACAATCACAAGTATCATTATTTAATGTCCACTGTGATAGTGCCCTGGAGGTGGGTATAGTGACCAGGAGGACATTTAATAAGGAAGCCTGAAATCAGAGGACACTTTTCTGAAGAAGGGAAGTTGTGAATGATATTTAAAGGAAACTCACAAATCAACTGGCTGAATAAGAAGTGATGAGCCTTCCATATAGAGGAAGAGATGTGTGCAAAGGTCCGAAGGTTTGAATCCTCCTAAGCGCAGCCATTCCAGTAAAAAACCCTTCTGCTTATCAATCCCAGCACCACTTAGTCCACTACAGTGGGTGCTGACCTTGACAACCACACCACCATTCCTTGAGGAATCATTCCACATCACAGTTACTTTTTAAAATTGCACCCACACCCTAGATTCCACTTCCAAACTAATTTTGTGTATAGGTATTCTGAGACAGAGAAATGAAGCCATTCTCCATTTCACAGTATATGGCAGAACCAGCATTTAAACTTGAGTTTATTCAGTGTCAGCAGTCTTGGAGTTCTTCAACAATCCTCTACTCTCTCTTTTAGCTATCTTGTAGGATCTTCTCTCTAGGACAAACATCACCACTTCTCCTAATACTTGTTTGTATGACATAGTCTCTAAGTCCTTCACTGCTCTGATTGACATCATCTGTGGACACAACAGCTTATTCACCACCCACTTGAAATACACTTCCTAGATTTAAGTGCAGTAACGCTGGAAGAGAAGGCTTTATAAATTTTGAGGACTTTTTTTTTTAACGGCAGAGTAAGTTTATTTTTATGTACAGAGAAGTCAGTGTACATCAGCCCAGTTTGGTGGCGAGTTCTTTGGCCTTGGCCTTCTCCGGCTTGGCGATGCAGGCCACTGACTTGGGCCCCAGGACGTTGACTCCCCAGTGGCAGGAGATCTCATCATATCTGTCGTTGTAATTGGCTTCTACCAGCTTCGCCTGAGCATCTTTACCTTCTGGGTTCACCTGAGTGAAGGCAACAGCGGTGCTGGTCTTCCGATGGACAAGCCGGCCCAGCCTGGCCTTGCCCTTGATGATGCAGTAGGGAACACACATCTTACGACACAAGGTCGGCAGGAAGACCACCGGGTCTATGGGGTCCACGTCATGTGCATTCACCACCAGTTGGACCTTCTTGTTCTCCACGAGGGTGATGACTGTATTCACCCCGGCACAGAGGACAGGGAGTCTCTTGGTGGGGGTGTTTCCTTTGCCAGCAGCCTTCTCAGCCTGGGCCAGCAGCCTCTGCTTCTTCTCCTTCTTGTCTCTGGAGAACTTTTATAATGAGACCACTAGAAATCCTACTCTAAAGAACTGATAGATTTTGTACCTATATTTAAGGGTGTAGACAAGGAGATACATGATTAGGAAGTTTCTGGATTTCCTTTTTTTTTTTAAAAAAAAAAAAAACAAACCACCACACCAAACAATGCAGTTTCCCAAAATGAGTACAGCGTTGGAGTCCAGTGTGAGTCGGGTGTCGTGACTGTTGTTGTGTAACCTCGGGCAGAAGGCAGAACTCTCAGTTTTCTTGCTTCTGAAACAGGACCCATCTCGCAGGCTTCTTGAAGACTTTACAATGAGAGAACATATGCAAAGTACCCAGCATGGGGCCTGCCCATAGCAAGTCCTGGGATCTTTGAAATTGTCACCTCCCTCCCCTGCTTTTCTATAAAAAACAGGTAATTCTGGGCTAGTTCGGGGGTGGTTCTTCCGAAGCATGAAATGAAACTACGTGACTTTTCGCAGTTACTTCCAGCCTGGCAGGCTCTGGGGGATTAGAGGGCTTGGTTGAAGTCCCACCCTCATCCCACACCCCACCCATGCACGCTTCCTTTGGGGCGCCTCCTCTTTAAGGTCCCTAGGACCTGCATGAGGTTCCCCAAGATCTGATACCCTAATACATGTTTACCCAGTTCTTAGTCTGCTGTTCTCTCTTCCCCAATTAGAAATAGCTTGTTTGCAATTCCGAAAGCAGGCAGTTCAAATCCAGAAGTTGCTCCGTGAGAGAAAGATGAGCAGTCCCCTCTCATGTGATTAAACTGCCTGCGGAAAGCTGCTGGAGGGTCAGCTACGGGTTAGTTCCGATTTGATGGTACACAACAACAACACCACAAATATACATACAAGGCTTCACTAGCTGGGTGGTTTGCTCAAGTGCTCATTTTCTCCTGGTTTCTGGAAAAGCCCCTAATGAGCCCGGAGGGTGTGGTAGGTTAGATGTTAGCTGCTAACTGGGGTTCTAACCCACTAACCGCTCCTTCGGGAAATGATGAGGCAGTCTGCTCTAGTTAACGTTTACAGCTTTGCAAACCCAGCAGAAGGTCACTGTGAGTTGGAATGAACTTGACAGAAGCGGGCTGGGTTGGGTTATTCTGGAAAAATCCAGAATGACAAATGTACAGATGATTCAAGGGCCTATTTTTTTAGCGCTCTCCCCCCAATCTGGCAACATGTTTTTCTGTAAACTTTATAAGTGAATGTGGAAGATTTGATTCGCTACTACAAATAAGTCAATATTTCAAATTTAGGTACCATAGTTTATCATCTTAGGGTGTTCACTGGAGATGGGATAAAGTGTACGTGGGGGGTGAGTTTCATTGTGTCCTTTTTATTGGACAGTAAACCTGGAAGTATCAATGAAGCACTTTCTGTGGCAATTTGACAAGATTTCTGTCTCTTCTAGTTTAAAATGCCCCCTCAAGGCCTCAGCCTTTGAGCTAGGCAGGTGTCCAAACTGGGTGGAAAACAATGAGGTGCATTATTGGTCCTAACAATCCAAATCCTGTCTTGATTCATCTATTAGGAATTCTTGCATTGTTCATTACCTTTAAAAATATATCTTCTTCCCCCAGTTAAAAAATATATATAACATCAATGCACACCCATGTTTATTGCGGCTTTGTTCACAATAGCAAGGAGTTGGAAACAACCTAAATGCCCATCAACAAACGAATGGATAGAGAAGCTGTGGTATATTCATACAATGGAATACTACACTGCATTGAAAAACAAGGAACTCATGCAAAAACATTCCTCTAGGTCGCATAGCCCTGGTGTACAAGTTGCCGTACAGCGGTAACTTGTGGTTGCTGTGAGGCTGAACACTGTGACACTGATGTGACAAATGTGTTAATGGCTGGTTACCCAATGCGGACAGAGGGTGGGGTGGAGCTCCCTGATTAAAACAAGCTTGGAAGGAGGAGTGGCATCCACTTCCATAATAGCTTGCCTCCAGAAACCCTATGAACCTGGAGAGATGATGAGAGACACCCAATCGTTGAGGACTCCTCCTTCATAGGGTCGCTATGAGTCGCCTGTGACTCGACGGCACTTAACAACAACAACAGTATTCAAAATGGGTGACTCTGGAGGACATTATGCTGAGTTAAGTATCTCAGTCACAAAAGGACAAATACTGCATGGTGCCACTGCTGTAAAACAGGACTAACCTTGGGGTTGGGGAGAGACTGAGAAAGACGGGTTCAATAATGTATACTGCATTGAAACAAATGAGGGAGAAAACTGTTTAAAAGGGATATGTGATTAAGTATTTTTGTCATGACAGGAGTCTAGAGTGAAGGCTACATGGTGGAGTGGATCTGGGGGAGGGTTTGTAAAGCAATGAAAGAATTTCTCTTTTACTTTTCCAAGAGGGTAGTGTACTAGGGGGAGGATTGGGAGGGGCGAAAAGTGCAACAATGAATGAATGGAAATCCAAAGTCTCTGTAAATTTTTACTGAAATTAATACTAAATTTAAATTTAAAAAAATACATACCATCAAATTTTCCATCTCACCCATTTTCAAGAATCATGTAGCACTGATTACATTGGCAGTGTTACTTGATCTTACTTGGATTCACAACCAACACCCTTGGTATCAGCAATCAGGTGATAGGAGACATACTGCACTGCGAAAATCTGTGGTCAGGGACCTCTTCAAAATTATGAAAGAGCAACCACTTCAGTTTGAGGACTTAGGTATGCTTGATTCAAACCATAGTCTTTTCAATCACTTGCTAAGTGATTACTTCATCTAAGAGCTTAGATAATCCATCTAAGAGCTGGACAATGGGTAAGGCTAACAGATGCAATGATGCTTTTGAATTGTGGTACTGGAGAAGAGCACTGAATTTCTCATGGGTTACCAAATGAACAAACAGATACGTCTTGGAGAAGGTACAGCCAGAGTACTCCTTGGAGGCAAAGATGGTGAAGCTTCATTTCTCAAACATTGGGCATACAGCTAGAAGCTATTCCTCGGAGAAGGACATCATGCCTGGAAAGGTAGAGGGTTGACAAAAGAGAGGAAGACCCTTAACCAGATGGATTGTCACAGTGACTATAGCAATGGGTGTTGGTGTCAGAGATTGGGAGGATGGCACAGAAAAGGACGAGGGTCAAGTTTATACTCGACTTGATGGCACCCAACAAGTAGTAACTCCTGCTGGCCAGTTTTTTACTCCTTGACAAAGTTTTGTCCCACCGCATTCTCTACTGGAACGCAAAAGGAAGAAAGTTCTTGAGTCCTGGTGTTTCCTCACATATTGAGCCAATATCCAAAGTGCTGATGGGAAATAGAACTGGGGGGAAAACAAGCTCTGTCTGAGATGATACTGAACACCTAGAGGGGTTTCTTAGAGAGCAAGGATGAAGGAACTAGACTTCACCAGCTGCCATTCCCACCTGGTCACAGAAGCCAGTATGATGTTGGCCTTGGCAAAAATGAAGGTACAACTGACGAGGAGGGTATTGAGTGGAGGGAGAGGTACTGAGCCGTCCCTAGCTCTGTAGCTTCACTTGGCTTACCGTCCAGTGACTCACCAGCTTATGAGCAATCCTCATATGCCTGATTTAGAGGACTTACTCACCCTTCGGAGAAAGACTTTAATGCAATAAAGCAAATGTCAGCAAGTGGGACGCCGCTTAGCACATCACCCAGCCTGTATCCAGCTTCCCACTCCCTGCTTGAGTCCTCTCCAGCCACGCAGCACTCAAGATAGGCCTGCATCATGGATCGGCTTCCAGAAATCCCTTCAAGGGTGATCAGAGGCTCAGAGACGTGAAATGGGAGAGGGACCTCCAGCAGCAGCTGGACCAAGCCCTTGAGAAGGGTCTGACTAAGGTGGCTAAGAAAGGAGTTCAATAGTACGGAAGAGGGCAGGTCAATTTCCCTAGACAGACAGCTTTCTCATCTGAGGGCTTTCTGGGGAATTTGTACAGTGAGTTGAACAAAGAATAGTGGAAAGTATGACCGCAAAGAAAGCCTTTGAGATCAGATGAAGAGCCGGGCTACCGTAGGTTCTCTCGCCATCTTGCTGTGTGTGGACATGGCACTTGTTGTAGTAGAGGTCTCCTTGATCTTCAGATTGAAGGGTATGGTTGGATTCCCTTCTATATAAAGTACCAGCTGATTGAGACAGCCAATGCCAGGCTATCTTCCACACCCTCTGACTAGATCAGAGGCCCCAAGCCAGCCATGGGGAGAAGTCTATAATGTCCCCTCCTTCCTCCACCAACACAATGGAAATTACTCACAAGGCAAGCTGATTCAGCCTTAGATTTAAACCCACTCATTGAGGGATTTACCTAGGAACAACTGAGGGAATTATCTGGAAGAATTAATACCAAGAGTGGAAAAGTAGGAGGACAGGCATTTAGAAGTGAAGCTTTCATCTAGTTCATTTCTCCAGCCCTTGGCCATTTAGTCAACATTTTCTGAGTGTCTGCCTTGTCCCAGTCACTGGGGGAGGAGGCCGGCCAAGAGCTCACTCCCCGGGAATGCTGGAGTCCAAGGCTTTGAGTTCTGAAGAACTTTCAGAATCATGTAATGCAGTCCACTCATCGCAGAGATGAGGAGTCTGAGGCTCAGCAGAGGGTACTATTGTTAAGATGACTAAATCAGGAGCCAACACACAGACTCATGTCTACCCACCATCACTTCAGAGTTCTGGGGGGGAAAATCCATTGTGAAAGGTGGGTCCCCCACCCCAGGGTACTCTTTCACCCAAATTTAGGACAAAGGACAAGACTTTTTTCTCTCTTTTATAATTTTTATTTTGCACTATAAAAAAACAACAAAACACCAGTAACATATACTGCTTTTTTTCACATTCACATGGGCTTTAGGAAATTATTGCCTTTTCCCCTGGAGAAGTAACCTACAGACAAAAAAAGTAGTAGTACCACATTGCAGAATCTGCAAACCCCAGAAGTCAACAGCTTGAAGACAACCCCCAGGAGAAGGGAAGAAAACAAGTGTCACACGTAAGGACACAAACACACGTAAGGGCAGCGAGCCAGGGCAACGTCACCACTGACCATCACACAGGGGCGGCTCCCTTATTCTCCTGGCACCCACTCCTACCACCTCAAGGTGGGGATTTTTGGTGTATGGTCTGGAGTAGTTTTCAAATGACACAAAAGGGGCCTTGAGAGGTACAACAAGAATAAGTTCAAGTATGAATATGAATCACACCAAATCCAAGGTCAAGGAAGGACACACAATAAACAAAACAAAACAAAACCCCAGAGAGTCAATGTCTTGCTACTTCAACCAATCACCTCCAGTGGACCCAAGAAGAAACCCCAAAACATTTGAGGGTTTCAACCACAGAAGATGGGAACAACCCGACTGAACTGCACCAGCCACCCCGCCAAGGTGGCCTGAGCCCAAAAGGCTTCTATGGCAAGTGAGCTTAAGGAAGCCCCTCAATGGGAAAGTGACATTCCTACTAGGATGGTTGACACCAGTGGACCTACAAAGCTCAAGGGGTCCCCTCCCTGACAAATGGTGATCAGCTTACGCCCTGAAGCAACAGAGACAGATAATGAGACTGTCAACTTCAAAAGAGATGGTGGAAATTGTGCTTCCTTCAAAATGAATTGGCTTGTAACTGCCTTTTCTCCTGGTCCAGCAACTGCTTTCTCCCACGTTGCTGCAGGTTATTTATTGCCATATGCTTGAAATGAAAAGGCGGGTGTTGAGGGGCGAGGACTGTGCGGTCCTGAGAGGGCAGGGGTCTGGGAGGACAGTAGTCGGCACTCACTGTGCTCATGTAATGGCTTGGCCTTCCTTTGCTCCCGAGAACCTGATCCCGAGGTCAGTCCAAAGTCCATTTGCAACTGGTGACCCCCGCTATCCCACTGGGACAGTGTGATAGAGCAAGGTCTTCAGTATTGCACAGGTATGAAATGTCCGTGAGTTTACAAAAAATGAGAATCACAGCTGCTCTTGGAACGGGACCAGCCCCACCGTCCTGGGTTTAGCAGGATGTGGCTGTGGCCACGGGGCTCCTGCCAAGCTCTGAGACTGTGGGGTGGGCGGGCACTGGGGCCAGCACCGAGGTAGGAAATGTACAGTAGGAGCCCTGCATGTCAGGAGCCAGTGTCTGCAAATGGTCTAGAAATGAAGGGCCTGCCGCCTCCCCTTGGCAGGAGGTGGCCTGGGTGGTGGGCATGGAAGGCAGGATCTCAGATTCATACTGCAAGAGTTGACCCATGAAGCCAAAGTTGGGCGAGACCACGTTCCTTCTCTGCTTGATGTAGTCGAAGGCTTCCTTCAGGCGAAACTGCTTGGTCTTCATGAGGTAAGCCATGCAGATGGTGGGCGAGCGGGAGATCCCTGCCTCACAATGGACCAGGACTTTGCCTCCCTTTTCCCTGATGCAGTCTGGAAGAAAAGAGGTGCAGGGAATGAGTTGAGTTTGAAATCCAAAAGCAATGCCAAGACATGAGAATTGTGCAATAAAGAAACTAGTTATCAAACCACTTTTCCAGCTTAAGAGCTGCAGTCTTCTTGCCAGTCCTCTGCCAATCTTTAAATAAGGAAAGAACTTTTGAAGTTTCATGGAAATGTTTCCCTGTCCGGAGACTTGATTAGCTCTTGAATCTGCCTTTCAGTTCATCACGAAGCTTGCAGTCATAGTTTCTGCCACTGGAGGCACTAGACCTGCCATAAACCCTTCCTGGATTACTTGGGTTCCAGGAGGTTTTCAGAGGGTATTATTAGGAAATCTCTAGATTTTAAGAAATTATGAGGGAGATATACATTTTTCAGGTGGGAGGGAGGGGCCTAAGCTCAAAGGCTGGCTGGAAGAGTCATTCCTCCTTTGGGGTCCAATTCTAATGGTCATGGCCTGTCCCTCCGCTGGTTGAGGCCTTCTAAGCTCCCAGGGCACACGGTCTGGTTGTACCAGGGCGGGATGCTTGGCTCAGTTCCCAGGGTTCCCACCACCAAACACAGAATAAATAGTGCACAGCCTCTAATTATAGTCCTGGCTAAGTGACGCTTACTAGATGGAGGATATAAATGGCTTTCGCAAACTACATCTTACACAAGGAGAGTCATTGCTATAAAGCTGTCACCATCTGTTAGCATTCTTTAAATTCAATATGACAAAAAAAGGGGGGAGGATGCCCTTCTTTCCTGCCCCACCTTGCCCTCCCAACCTCCATCCCCCAAAATTACAACTCCTGAGGACTGAATGTTACTTTAAAAATGGGAAAAGGTGAAAAGTTAACTATATACATATCAAAGCAAAGCCACAAAGAAACAGAGACTTTCCAATTCTATCTCTTGCTGATAAGAAACAATTACATCACAGGAAGTTAGATGTCGCTGATAGTAAGGAAGCCACAATGTACAAAGATATTTAAGATTTGGGAGGGGGGAAAACACAACTCTTCTCCTCCCAAGTTCAAAAAATTTGCAAATGTATCTGTGAGCTTTTAAAGATAAAATTTCTACCTGGAGTTTCCACTTCTGAACCACAATAAGGGCATCTCTGAGTAGCTCATTAGAGGGGCCCACAATCTGAGCTCCAGCTCTGGCTTAAAGAAAAAAATTCTTATAAGTAGTCCAAAGGGGAGACCCCAAAACCACCCCTCGGGACAACAGGATTGTGGCTCCAAACAGCAGTCAAGAAACCAAAAGATGCACTGGAAAAATCTGTTGTCAAGTACCTCTACAAAGGACCAAAGAGCAATGATGTCAGTTTAACGATTAAGGTGCACTCGATCCAAACCACTGTTATTTTAAATTGTTTCCTATGCATCTGAAGGTTAAGCAATGAATAAGAGTGACAGAAGAATCAATGCTTTGAGTTGTGGTGTTGGGAAAGAGCACTGACTATCCCACAGACTGCCAAAAGAACAAACAAGTCTGTGATGGAGGAAGTGCGTCCTTGCAAGGAGGCAAGGATGGTGAAACTTCATCTCATACTTTCAGCATGGGCCAGTCCTTGGAAGAAGACATCAGACTTGGAAAGGTGGGAGGTCAGAGGAGGACCCTGAACAAGACAGACAGTGACTGTGACAAGGGTCGAGCCCGATTGTGTGGATGGCACAGGACAGGTCTGCATTAAGGTCTGTTGTCTGCAGAGTCACTACGTGTTGACGGTGACTTGACAGCACCTAACTGCAGCTCCCTCTGTTTTGTGGTCTACCTTCTAATTGCCCTCATGTCACATCCAAGAAAGCGCTGCTTCTGGAACCCACTCCGAAGCTCAGGGCTGGCCTCCCCCATAGCCTCTGTAGACCACATCCTTTTGGAGAGGTCCAGATATGGTTCAGCATCTGACCCAACGAGACCTCCCCTGTTCCCATCGGTCGAGCAAAAGTCTGGGAAAATGCATCTGGTGCTTTTGAAACGCTGTGGGTTTGGGCGGATGTGTCCACAAACAGACACATAAGAGATGGGGAGGGAGGGTTCTGAGAAATGGCCGGGGGTGGGTTTAATGGCCTTATTAAGGAGCTATCTAGGTAATTAAATAACAGGCTGAGAAGGGCAAGGCCTTCCCAGGAACAGGGAGACAAGTCTAAGGCTTCTTATCCTGAACCCATCATTTCCGTGGCCTCGGAGAGACTCCAAAGAAAGCATCTCCACCCGGAAGCTCGGAGGCTGGAGGCCGGGAGGTTGAGCCCTGCCTCTGGTGAGTTTCTCATAGGAGGGTCTGAGGTGCAGCGGAAACTATGTGCGCCCACCACGTGGCTGAGGGGCCTCTAATTACCACCTGCAGTAATTACTGCTGGGTCTAGCACTGGCCCTGCCCACCCCGCTACCCCAGCACCCCTCGGAACAAAACACGGGAAAATCCTGTCTCAGTTGCCACAAGTAAGCACAATAAAGACAGAGAGCGAAGACTCCTGACAGGGAGGTATGCTCAACTAAACATCAACCCAGCCCTCGAGGGAGAGGGCTGAGGGAAAGAGAGGCCATCACAGCAAACGAAGGCTAAAGCCCTTTCCAGACTGCGGCCAAGGTCAAGACCTTGGCTTTCAGACAGGGACCATGCCTCCGTGATAACTGCCACACAGGAATGCAGAAAGGATGCAGAAGTTGCCAAATTCCCCCATGTGGAAAGCACTATCTGTAATCCAAAATTAGCAGAAAACGCAAAACAAATTGCCCCCAAGCTGTTTGCCAAAAAACCAGGGAAAAGCGGCCGGGCTCTCGGGGCTCAGTGCGTAAGTAGTGCTCTCTCAATCCTTCTGTTTGCTTTTAAAAATATCCCAACCTACGTAGCAGCAGCGCAGCTAGGGAGGTTCTCTACCCGTCTGCTTCCCTCACGTGGCGCTTTCTGTGCGGATTCAGGCCTCTGCTCCCCGCCTCGCCAGGAACAATCACAGAAGTGGCACCAGGGATCGCCATAAAAATGTACGAATTCATTTATCTCACAAATTAAAACTCCTATGAATAGCAACTTAAACCCGCCCCTCTGCTTTTTTAGTTGCTGCGGCCTGTCCTGGCTCCAGCTCTTGGGGTGGTTGCAAAGACAACACATTTGTCTTCTCAGGGAAGGCAGACCCTAACAGCACGTCAAGATCCAAGAGCTCACGTCCCTCAGGGCGGCCCCGCACCTACGCAGAGGGACTGACCCACTGACTGGACCTACCAATGAAGTCTATTGCTTCTTGAAAGTGGGAGCTAATGTCGGCTGTGTGGCTGTCTTCCACAGGGATCCACTTGTAGTGTAGGTGCGCCGTGCAAGCCTCGGAGGTCCGCCTGGAGACATTCAGCAGGGCCGTGATGTGCAGGTTGGCCAGGAACTCGCACTTGGATGCGTGGTAGGCACTTCCAAGGTAGAGGAAAGGGAGGATTTCCACTGGGCCACCCTGTAGGCAAGAGCCAAGGACACCAGGAAATATTGGATTAGCTTGCTCATTTGGGGGAGGGAAGAAAAACAGTCCTGACCTATTTGCTTCTTAATGTGGGAGGTGTCTTGCTTGCTTCCAGGTAGATGGGCAGAATGGAGAGACTGTGGCAAAGTTCTAGCTGCCCTGCGAGAGGAGTGAGACCAAGTCCTTTAACCTCAGGTCACTTTGGCCTTCTTTACGTATAAGTGACATTTTCCAGCTCTGTTTTATATGATAATGCTATCTGTCAAGGAGCTCTGACCGCACAACGATTATTAGCTCCTAGGTACTAAACAAAAGGCTGACAGTTCAAATCCACCAGCCTTTTCACACAGGAATAGACTTGGCAACTTGTTCCGGTAAATGAAACCTTATTGGCCAGTTCTACTCTGTCCTACCAGGCTGCTGGGAGGCGGCATTCACTCAGTGACAGCCCCAACAAAACCATCATCAATCCTCAAATGCTGCGGATTATGAAAGGGATTCGGATTACAGAGATGTTAAAAGACATGTTCTGTCTCCCACCCCAAAACAGGATTTCTGCGAACTGAAAAGAACCACTGTTAGCCAAAATCCTCAAAGTGAAGTTTTTAAGCAGAGGGATTTCCCTCCACCCAGGACCTCCTTTAAATGGGGCTTAGAGTACTGGGGAGAGAAGCTTTGGGGAGGCCACTTTCAAACCAGATATCTCCACCCACACACCAGGTCTCTAGTTAATAAGACACAATGAGGGAGAACCAGAGACCATGCACCCTGAGGCAAAGGTAAACATAACTGCCTGCCAGCTTTGGAAGTCTAAGGGAGCTCTGATAGTCTGGTGAGTCAAGAGTTGCACTGCCAACCCAAAGGCACGTGGTTCAAACACACAAGCTGCTCCAATCTCCTCCCATGAGATTTAAAGCCTCTGAACACCCACTGGAGGTTCAGCTATGAATTGGTTTTGACTTCACAGCAATGAGTGAGTGAAAGTGAGTAAGAGAAGTCCAAGATATACGGACAAGGGACATCTCTGGAGGTGTGGAGGAAAACACCAGGCTGGGGACAGCTGCTGTCTCTGTGGAAACCTTTCCTGTTTCATCCACCACTTCCTGCATTTCCACTTCCTCTCCTGGAATAAGGATGCTGGAGGGCTGGCAGCAGATAATTCTATTTTTTTCCCTTCCCTTGAGAACAACTACTTAAGCAAAAGGCTAGTTTAGTCATTTAGAAGATATTCTAGAGGATTCTACAGAGGATAGTAATGACTGGTCTTTTTATTAAAGCCTACTATAGTTAGGGCTCTCTGGTGGCCTACTGGGTAAGGAGTTGAGCTGCCAACCCAAATGCAGGAGGTTCAAGGCCATCAGTTATTCTGACGGAGGCACGCTGGAAATCTCCCTCCCACCCCCATGCAATTTAGTGCTGGTGAAAATCTGCTGAGGGTCAGCTATGAGTCCTTTCCAACTTGGTAGTACACAACAACAACAACAACTACTACTGACAGGCTTAAGGAACTCCCTGCTAACTAGAAGTTATTGTGTACCATCTAGTCAGAGCCAACTCACAGCTGACCCTCCAGCAGGTTTTCAGAAGCCGTAAATCACATGGGAGGAGACTGCCCATCATTCTTCCTCTTTGTAGCTGCTGTATTCAACTTGGTTTGACCTCATTAGCTGCACCAAAGGAAAAAGGATGTGCCAGTCTGCTTCTGTAAAGGTTTAAAAACTCAAACTCAGTGCCCTTAAGTCGGAACCAACTCATAGCTGACCCTCCAGCAGATTTCTGGAAGCTATAAATCGAATGGGAGAAGGTTGTCATCTGTCTCCCCTGGTGGATTCAATTCACCGAAGAGCCACGGCCTTTGGGTCAGCATGTTAACTCCCTATGAGCTGTTGTTCTGTGCTGCTGAGTTGAAACAGACCCATTGCTGACCCTCCAACAGGTTTTCAGAGGCTGTAAATCAATCACATGAGAGGAGACTGCCCATCTTTCTCCCAAGGAGCTGGTGCTGGATTCAAACCACCTGCCTTTGGATTGGCAGCACAACTTCTTACCTTCTAAGCCACCAGAGCTCCCCTATGGACTATGCCTTAGAAACTCTATGAGGCAGTTTTACTTTGCCTGGTTCGGGCTCTTTGAATCAGAACAGCTTCAATGGCATCAAGCAATGACTGGCTTAATACTTCAGATGGTATCTACCTAACAGCAATTTCACAAAGAATTTTCACAGCAGGTAATGTGATCCTCATTTTACAGATGGAAAAACCTGAGGCTTGAGAGATTAAGGGATTAAATTAGGGTCTAAACCAGGTTTGGTTTAGTTCAACCGCCCGCTGACAATTTCCATTTTCTCCCTAGAATCTTGTTTTAAACATTGATTCTGATTCAGTATATCTATCTTGGGGTGGAAATTAAAATTCTCAGCAGGAGGTTGACCTGAATGAATGGTTCGTAGTCCTTGAGAGGCAAGTCAGTTAACTAGCCCAAGTCAGAGTCAGTCAGCGGTAGAGCCTTCAAACCCAAATGGGATTACTAAGCATGCCATTTCAGAAAAGTGGTCACTATGAGAAAGCAAGTATTTCAAGTGAAAACAGGAAAGAAAGCTCTCCCTCCCTTCCTCTCTTCTCAGAGATAAAATTTCCATCTGCACCCCTCCCTTAAACCAAACAAGACCAATTCACTGCTGTGGAGTCCGTTCAATCCATAAAGATCTTCCACTGGGTTTCTGAAGCTGTCAATGAGGAAGCAGCCTGCTTATCTATCTTTCTCCCAAGGAGTGGCTGCTGGCCTCGAACCGCCCACCTTTCAGTTAGCAACCTACACATTACACACTAGCCTTCAAAGCTCACTGCTGCTTTGTTAGGTGTCACTGAGTCAACTATGACCTGCAGTGACCCTATGATCAGATCCAAACCCTGCCCTATCCTTTGACATCCTCATCAGCCCTGCCACACCAGAGCCCATCGTTACAGTCACTCTGTCTATCCAGTCTCCCTTTCCTTTGCTCACCCTCCATATTTCTGAGCATAATATCTTTCTCCAAGAACTGGTCCCTCTTAACAGCATGCCCAAAGCATGTTAGGCAAAGCTCCTTGGCCCTCCCTAAATCTCCACATATAGGAAGCACTATATAGTGGAGCTGTAGGTCGAGTCTCACTCCAACATTGCTAGTTGTTGTGACCTTGGGCAGTTTCCTTAAGAACCTATATCTGTAAAATGGGGATAATAATACCTCTCTGCCAGGGATAATTTTAAGGAATAAATGGGATAGTGGGTCCATTATATAAAGCCTGATATATTATATGGCTACCGCTATCAAAGGCTGAAGAACAAATAACCCATGTTAAAGATTGCTCTCCCTCAGGGAGACACAGGGCAGATACTGAGCTGGTCAACTCTGGCAGATCTAGGCCTGATCTGAGCTGGACTTTCACCCTGAAACACAGCTCCCCACTAGTTAGGAACCACCAACTTCTAGTTACGTTTTCAGCAGAGTAACTGGAAAGTCGTTGGGGAAATGAGTCTCAAGACCCTGGTCCAGGTGAGCCGGGCACTGAGCAGCCAGCCACAGGGCCCACCAGTGGACAGCAACAGCCTCATCCTTAATGGACAGTTGACACAAACCGCTCCCTTCTGAGTGCCTGGAAATCGCTGACACATCAGGCCTGGGATCCTTTCCAGTTTCTTCTGGCGCTTAGCCCAACACACCCGTGAAACCATCTTTTTTCCTTTTCTGAATTTCTTGTTTAGACTCAAGAGGAACAAGTCAAAGGCCCTCAGAAACCCCAAAGGTTAATGAGACCTCGCCTGGTTTCTCTGGGTGCAGGAGCGCTTCTAAGAAGTTAACCAGGGAGTTCCCCTAAATAAATCTTCAAGGCATTTCTGGGCCTCCCCAGCCCTCACTTGGCCAAAGGTCTGCGTGCTTTCATAACATCCTATTTCTCGTTTCTCTTTCACTTTCACAGAAACAGGGGGGAAAACACAACCCAAACATACAAAAATAGAAAGCTAATTAGGTCAGATGCTCATGGCTTGAAAGCCCAGGGGTCAGAGACCATGCATATATTTAATAAAAGGAAAACAAACAAAATAACTCTGGCACCTTGCTGAGCTCATAGGCTTCCCCACCCAGGATCCCATTCGAGAAAAGGTCAATGACTGTAATAATGTCACAAAAGAGACAGTGAGGCTGGCACGGGGCTGGGAAGGGTTATGTTCTGTTGTATGTAGAGTGGTTACAGGAGCTGATGTGAAGTCACCTAACAACAAAATATATCAAACTTATTGATAAAATTAATTGCATTCCTTTAAAAAAAAAAAAAGGAAAAGGTCACAGGGCTTTATTTGGAAGTTCATCCTGAAGGGTCGAATTCTGCTCGTGGGAGCTGGATGGCATTTCAGGGAGCATCTACAAGTGTTTTATGATTGGGAGACTATTTTTATCTTCTGGGAAAAGCTTAAAAAGCTCTTTCCATGATATGGCCCTTTTTAAGTGGAAAAGTGAACGAGGTTCCATCAGGGAGGGAATTCAGAGAAGGAAGTTCTGCCATGAACAGGCTGTGGGGCTCTTGGCAAATCGGTCATCTCACTAACCAGGAAACAGCTTTTTCCTCTCAAATGGAGAGAGGTTGGTTTGGTTTCTGCCACATCAGAGCTGTCTGTCACCTGCCTTCTTCTCATCTTCCAGCTTCACACCAGGTAATTCCTGACCACTGAACTTACTTTTTATTCTCTCTTTAATGGGTTTCCATGAAGTAGTTTTTTGAAAGAGGGAGGGACAACAAAATCATGTACATACTTGTAGAAACCGGAAACCCTGTAATTTCCTGATCTCCTCTCCTTCCAGAATTCACGCACTTCTAAGCAGAGAAAGCCTTTGGTGTTTGCCAACTAAACAATATATTCTTTGCCCCCTTGCCCTGTTTCAGTGTAAAAATACCACAGAGACTCCATCAAGAAACGAATGGATAGAGAAGCTCTGGTATATTCTCACAATGAAATATTACGCTGCATTGAAAAACAAGAAACTCATGAAATATTCAAAATGGGTGATCCTGGAGGACATTATGCTGAGTGAAGTATCTCAGTCAAAAAAGGACAAATATTGCATAGGGCCACTGTTGTAAAACGGGACTGACATTGGAGTTGGGGGCAGACTGAGAATGATGGGATAAACTATGTATACTGCATCAAAACGGATGAGGGAGAGAACTGTTTAAAAGGGATATATGACTGTGTATTATTGTTATTATGACAGGAGTCCAGAATGAAGGCTGCACAGTGGAGTGGACGTGGGGGGAGAGACTGTATAACAATGAAATAATTTTTCTTTTACTTTTCAAAGAGAAGAGCAAATTGAGGGGGAGGGGTGGGCAGGGAGAAAAGTGGAACAATGAATGAATGGAAATCCTCAGTCTCTGTAAACTTTCATTAAAATTAATAAAAAGGAAAGAGAAAGAAATAATTACCAAGTACTGGGGGGGGGCGGGGAATATACCACAGAGACATGCCTTGACAGGTCCTGGGTTGGTAGAGAAACGGCAGAGCGTGCACAAGTGCAGACAGGTGCACAGGAAGCTTAAATGTCAGTCTGGAACATTTTCAGGGAAACTTAAACTGATATGAGAAAGCTTTTCTGACCCTTCCACACCCGCGCGTACAAATGTGCCTTTCACTTCCCCTTTGCACGAGAAGCTGGTGAGCGTCCTGAGAGGCTTGCTGGCCACGCGTCAGTATGTTTGCTGGCCGCCAGCCCATTTACTCTGGGATGGAAACTCAAGTTGGCAAGCGACAGAGGCACTCTCAAACAAGACACTCTGCCAACACCCTGGGCCACCAGGAACTAACTGGTGCTGCCGAGGAGGGAGGGGAGCCAGGGAGGAATGGAGCCATACCTGGTCATAAGCCGGCCTGTGGCTGAGGCTGGGCGCTGGTTTCCCACACTGGCTGAGAAGCCCTCTGTCGCTTTCCATCTTCTCTTGTGAGATGGGCTTTACGTCCACACAACACTCTGGATATTCCGAGTAGAAGGTCTCATATCCCCCTACACACAAAAAAAGATGAGACAGATGTAAGCACTGATTTCTGCTGAAAGATACCTGGGATTAATTATAACAGTCTGAGGGTGGAATGAAGGGATCCTTGGTGGTGCAGTGGTGAAGTGCTTGGCTGCTAACAGGAGGGTTGGTGGTTCAAACCAAACAGCTAATGTTCTCGGGTGGGTGGGTAATGGGCATTCTATTTCTGTAAGTATTTACAGCCCTAAGGCAGTTCTACCCTGACCTACAAGGCAGGATAGACACATGGTAGTGGGTTTGGGTATTTTAGGTTAAAGGTGGAATAGTAAAAAAACACAGGTTTAGTGGGGAAGGAGCTGTGCTGCCAACCCACAGGCAGGTGGTTTGAATCCACCAGATGCTCCGTGGGAGAAAGATGGGCAATTTCCTTCCATGTGAAAATCTGCTGGAGGGTCAGCTATGGGTCGGTTCTAAATCCATGGCACATATAAAAAGTAAAAGAGATTCTGGTAAGAATGAGTGAATGAAAAATTCATTTTCTTTATAAATTTTCAGTCAGATCATAATAAAAAAGGCAAAAAATAAAATAAGCTCCACATTTTGGTGACATTAAGAAGAGTGAGTAAAATCAATTAACAGTTTCAGAGTAGAAATGGTCTTCCAAGCACATCCTCAATTTCACACATGTATATCTAAAAAGCTACATTTCTGAGAGGCAATGATTAACGAATACGTGACATCTGGCAGATATTAACCAAATCTTTCAGGAAGACAAAAGCTATTTTCTCTCTTGTTGATCTAAAATTAGAAGAGGTGATCAGGAAAAATGTCATTAATTTGTAAGAAAGAAACTACCACAAGTGTCATCCCCCAGGCCCCTTAGGCCCTAAGCAGCACTGTATGTTTAACAACCTCCATTGAGAAGGAACTGGGGACTAATATGAGGTTTAAACTCAGGGCAATAAAACAGTTTGTTTTTCCTAATCCTCAAGGTGCTAAGAACACTGCTGATCTTCCTTTCAACAGGCCCAACTTGGAGCTCTCAATCTGGGTAATTACCTTTCCAAGCAAAGGGATGGGCGATTGGAATGAGGACTGCTGAACTTAATTCTTAGCCCTCACAAACAAAGCTTGTCTCTCCTCGAGACAACCACTTCTTTCTTTTTTTCCAACCTTTCCCTCTAGATACCTCAAATCAGTAAGCCAATTAATTACGGCTAAAAATGGCTCCAAGGATTTGTAATATTATTGTTACATTTCTGCAAATGTTATCACTCAAGGTAAAAACTACTTCCGATTCAAGTCACAGAAACTGAGCTGCGTGAAGAAAAGCCCTCTGAGGCCCATGCCCCTCGGTGGTTAAAGAAACCCCCCAGTGAAGCCATGGGGACATTAAGGGGTGCTGGGTGAACCTGCCAGCCACTCACTCGAGCACCCAGAAGACCCCTTCCTGTTTCTCTTTTTTTTTTTCCCTTTTTCTTTTTTTTTTTCTGTTTCTCTTGTACAGAGGATTCACTTGTGCCAAATCCTCACGTGAATGTGCATTCTGAGACCCTGTATTTCCTCCCCGCTCCCCTCAACCCCTCTGTTTTCCTCCACTTTTGGGAGTTGTGACCCTTGGTGGAACACTCTGGCTTTGTTAAACCTGTGTGGCTGACCAATGGTTAATGGATTACAGGGCCGTCACCGCCCCTCTGCCTCCCAGAAGCTCTGCCAATTCCTAGAATGAGTCATCTTTCCATCAGCTCTCGGAACTGCCCCCACCCGCCCCCGGTTAATACACCCAAATCTTCTCTGTGGTCATTTCGGCAAATCACCCACTGCGCCTTTCTGGACAAGCTTCTGATCTCCCGAGTGAAGGAGCCAAGGCTACACAGGGGTCATATGGGGCAGTAGTGGAGGCGTGTGTGTGGCCAACCTTCCCTGCTCACCCTTGTCTCCTCAGAAGCAGAGGGAATGCCCCACTCACACACAGTCACACAACTTCCTCCTCCTCCTCAGAGGTGTCATTCATTGGTCATAACCATCCAGCTGCTATCTGAGTGACCTGTATGGAATTTGGAGTAAAAGGGCCCAGGTCATCCCCAATTTCAGGATAAGAAAGAGAAATCTTTAGGCCACCCTATCTCTCGACTCTAAATAGACCACCTAAGAGTTGGCTGTCAGGAGGACAGACAGACAGAGGTGACGGCATGGGGCTGGAGCCTGCCTGCCTGTTGACAAAATACACAGGCAGACAAGGAGCCTCCGTGTAGCTGAGGGACAGATAAACAGGGCCTGGCTTGTCAAACTGGGGTCAGGACTCCTGCAGATTAGCCCATCTCGCACCCACTCCCTCAGAGGTGTGGAGGCAGAACATTCCTCTCTGGTGCCTCATTTGAGCTCAAGAGTTCGGGTGATTCTTAGAGCTGCTTCAGAGTGACTCTGCTTTCAGTCACCACTGTGTCACCAAGGGACTGGGGACAGTTCCTGGCCGCTATATATAAATACGGGTAGACAATCCGATTTGATCAGCACCCTCTCATTTTACTACTCTGTTGTTCTTTTTAGAGTAATGAGAGAGATGAAGAAGACACTAAAAGGCACAGCTCCCAAGACCTGAGATCCCACCAGCTGGGAAATCACAGCTGGATAGCGATTCAGTGTCTGAGATGCCACAAGCTTAAACTCAGAAATCATAACTGGATAGAAATGAGGGGGTAAAAAAGGAAGAGGCAACAATTTAAGTTGAATAGTATTATAAGGAGATTTCTACCAAAAGTGGAAATATACATGACCTTTGACCCTGCAAGTCTTAGGATTTTATTGAAAGAGGACTGTGCACACGCACGGTTGAGTGGCATACCCTCTGTGGAACTGCTTCAGCTGAGATGAAAGGCAACCTGCCCACTGGCTGTGAAAAGTGTTCTGCGAGGAGGGTCTCCTCCAAGATTTAGTCCCAGGAAAGAGGGAAGAAGGCGGCATATCTCCTTCCTGGGCGAGTTACTCCCTCGGAAAATCCGTTAGAGGGTCAGCTCTAAGTCAGTGTCAACTGGGTATATAACATTTTTTAAAGGTATTTGGGAAAATAAACTTTTGCTAAAATGTAGGGGAAATTTGCTTTGCATTGTAAAATACTGTGTGCCACTTATTTGTATCTGTGGTGCTAGAATAAAAACAAAAGAAAACATCACCTTAAATATATATATACACACACACACACACACACACACATATATATATATATATTTTTTTTTTTTTCCCTTCTCTCTCTTGAGATGTGAGCCTACAGAGCTGCCTGCTTCCGGTGGCAGTAACTTGGGTCAGCAGGACCCCTCTGGAGAGGGGCGGGGAGGAGTTTCCTGGAATGCATCTTTCTAGATGCCTGAGGAGTCGGAAGCTTTTCCGGTATTCAGCGCTAAGAAAAGGAGACAAAACCCCACCAGGAAAAGAGAAATCAGGGGCCATGTGTGAAATATCCCCACCACCAAAGGCCACTTGTGGCCTCACCGGAGGTGACAAGGACAAAATTATCATCTCCTGCCCCTAACATCCATCCAACAGGAATCAACAGCAAGAGGTGCTAATGGAGGCGAGAGCGGGCCCACGTGCCTGTGGAATGTACAGCTCCAGAATGTGTGAAATTCCCCAACTCGCAGGGCTTTACCATGAGGTCCTAGCGTGCACTGGGCAAGGGCTGTCCCTCTAGCCTGCTCTGTTCCCTATTACTGTTGGAACCCGGACATACACACACCAAGACTAGAAGCACCCTGGGCCCCCGGGGCTGTGACCTCAGCTCTTCGCTCCAGCTAACATTCTCACTCACCATCAGCCAGGAGCCACGCATGACTCAGAGCTGACCCTCTGCTGGTTTTCTGCGGCTGTAAATCACACAGGGGGGAGATTGCTCATGCTTCTCCCACAGAGCTGCTGATGGATTCAAGCTGCCACAGCGTGGTCGTGGGTCAGCAGTGCAACTCCCTACATAGACCCCAGAGGCCTCTAAGCTCATTGCTGTTATGAGCCTTTAGGTCTGAACAGAACCTCCAGTGGGTTTTCTGGGATGGTAAAGAGACTGCCCATCTTTCTTCCAGGGAGCCGCTGGTGGGTGTTCTGACTGAACGGCGCCTGCCTTTGGGTTGGTAGCACAACTTTTTATCTCTTAGTCGCCAGAACTTCCTCATTAGTGGTGACAAAGGGCTCGAATGCATGCAGTGGGTTCGTGTAAATCATAGAAAATAACCTCAAAACCAGTGCTCGAGTTGGCGAATCACCACCTCTCACCAGAAGCCTAAATTACCTGCTCCGCAAGTAAAATGGGTCAGCTAAGAAGTCTCAAATCAAAAGCCACACAATCTCCAGCAACATCCGACCCAGAGGCTCAACGTTCTGGTCGAGACTCAGAAGCCCTGGGTGGAGGGTTTAGGATCCCTATCTCAGGAATGTTCCCAGGGCGCCCAAGGGAGGAGGTGAAAAGGATAGGAAGGCTGTCAGCTCTGAAATGAGCGCGCAAAACCAGGGAGGGGAGAGAAGGTCGAAAAAAACAATAAAAAGCAATAAAATGAAATGGAAGGAAGGGGAGGGGTTCGCTGGGGTCAAAAAGGCAAGAGGGATGGGGGGGGGGCGGTACAACAGCGTGGTAACCTAATTACCCAGGCGCGAAGGAAGGGGACACCGCGGCGCCACGCTCCTGGGGGGTCGCAAGCTGCTGATCTCGTCAGATCTATGAGATAAGCGGTGCCCCAGCCCCAGTAAGAGCTGCGGGGCGCTCGCGGGGAAACGCGGCGGGTAGTCAGCACGGCCCGAGGTCCCTAGCCACTAAGTAGCAGTGTCCCTCCCTGCACGGACACCTTCACCCAGCCCTGCGGACAGGCGGCCGGCGCTTTCGAGGAACGCAGGCGGGGGCTGGCAGCTCCGGGCGCTGACATTTGCAGTGCCCTCACCAAGCGCGCACAGGCCAGGTGTGCAGGCGCCGGCAAGGGGGACGTCGTCGGTGGCAGAGTCTAGCAAGGCTCTCCGCGCAGGGGGGTTAGCCCAGAGCCTGGGTTCGTGTCCGGGCGGGGATCTAGAGGACCAGTGGCCCCCAGGGCTCAGGGAGAGTAGCCTAGGGCGCAGGGAAGGCACCCCAGGGCGCAAAGAGTGTATTCCAGCGCCTAAATCCGTGCCCGAGCGGGGATCTAGGGGATCGGGCCACCCCCAGGCGCTCACCTTTGAGGAAGTAGACCCGCGGGCCGGCGGGCAGGCAGGCGAGCAGCGAGGTGAGCACGACGCGGGCGGCGCTCTCGTCGCGCAGCTTCTGCCAGTGGCGGCTGCCCTGGTCCAGCACCACCACGGCCGCCACGCCGCCGCCGCCCTCCTGCAGCAGCCGCGCGCGCGCCGTCTCGTCGGGCAGCACGTAGCGCGCCGGCACCGCGCCGCCGCGGGCCCGCCGCAGCACCACCGAGTTGAGGTTGACGTTGAGCGAGCCGCGCACGCTCGAGGCGGCGAAGGCCAGGTAGGGCCGGCAGTCGAGCACCACGCAGCGCGCCACCGCCTCCTTGCGGAGCATCTTGCGCAGCTGGCGCCCGTCGAGCGACGTGACCTTCATGCCGACGCCGCTCAGCGGCCCCACGCCGCGCGCCGCACTGGTACCCACGGCCAGGGTGCCCGCTGGCGAGGCACTGCGCCGGCCGGTGGAGCCCGACGCCCGAGCGGCCGCTCCGCGCTTCTTTCCCGCCCGGTACACTCCGCACCCAGCCCTGCCACTCGCCGCCCCAGAAGCCGGGGATTCCGCCGGCAGCGCAGGGTTTTATGTGAATGAATGTGCGGCCTATGACGTGACTGCCCATATAAGGCCAAATATGGGTATTTCCCCGCCCTTTCTGGCCGTGGCCACGCCCTCGGGGCGGAGCTCCAGCCTCCCATTCCACCGAGCGATTCGCTGGGCGGACGCGCAGCGCCTTCACCAGCGCGAGGGAGAGGAAGTGGAAGTGCCTCCTGCGGCCGCCGGCGGCGGTGCGCGCAGGGACTCAGCGGCGCATCACCGGCACCGCGACCCGGGTCAGGCCGCCGCCGCGCCGATGACCCACTCCGTGCGGGAAGCGGAGGAGGCGGCCGGTAGCTCTGCCTTCTGATTTCCAGTTTAAGGGACGTTGGTGGAGAACATGCCGGAGGCCGAGCCAGGCCCCTGGCTAAGCCCGAGAATGGAGCCAGACAGTGATATCCCCAAAACGGGCTTCCCTGAAGCCTTGACGTCGTGGAAGGAACCGATGTCTGGGATTTGTTTCTGAGAGTGAAGGCTCATTGAACGTGTGTTGACACTTGCTGACGTGGGTTAATGTTTTCTCCCCTGTGTTTGAAAATTCTTGTAATAAAAATTCTTTTTAAAAAGTTGAGGGTGAAAATGTTTGCACACTTTTAGGATGCCACTTGTAGGCACAAGGTTGAATTGAGGCATTTTGCTGCATATATTCTCAACAACAAAGTAAAAAAATAAATAGTATTTGTGTGGAGATAAGGCAGAAATCAATCTCCCGCAATAAAGTCGGTTCTCCGGAGTGTTAATGGAGAAGAAACAGTTTTGAGGTTGTTTTGTTTTGTTTTATGGGGGCCCAAGAAAATGTGCTGTGAATTTCTCAGCAGCATCAGCAAGCATCACAGTGGAACCCTGTCCAGCCAACTGCTGTCCAGGTGGCTTCTGGATTTGGGGGGATTATCTCTGGATCAAGTATAATCCCAGGCTGCCTGCCCTGGGCTGGCCCCTGGCAGCTTCAAGCCTCCCACCCCCATTCTTAGGGAAGTGGACACCATTCACCCTTCAGCTAATATCTGCTTACATTCAGCCTGTGCCAGGGCTTTCCCAGCTCTGGGTGAGGGAACACTGTGAAGGGAAATTTGCCTGAGCCCTCAAACTCATAGCCGACCATTTCTTTGTTCATCTCGGGGTGAGGAGTTGCCTCTGCTACAGAGGTACTTGTCAGAGCTGACACAGGGGAAGGAGGCTTGTAGGTCTCAATTCTTATTGCTGGCAAGTTGGAACCAACTCATAGCTGAACTTCCAGTGGGTTTTGGGAGGCTGTAAATTGCACAGAAGGAGATTGCCTATATTTCTCCAGAGAGGCAACTGGTGGATTTGAACCACCAGAGATAAAAAGTGCAACTCCTTCTGAACAGAAACATTCAAAGGTACTGTCCTTGCCCTGAGGTAACAAATGGTCAAACTACCAAAAGGTTGGTAGTTGGAATTTACCCAAGGGCTCCAATTAAAAAAGATCTGCCAATCTACTTCCATAAAGATTATCATGCAGCAATAAATGTTGGAGAGGATGTGAAGAGATAGCAATTTTTTTGCACTATTGGTGGGATTGTAAAATGGTGTGGCCACTCTGGAAAGCAGTTTGGCGTTTCCTCAAAAAGCTGAGCATAGCAATCTCATAAGAGACATAGTTTTTCCATTGCTAGAAAATGAGAACTGAGACACAAAAAGATATTTGTACACTAATGTTCATAGCAGTGTTATTCCCCATCACAAGAACAAGAAGACAGCTCAACTGTCCAACCACAACCAAATTGAGAAATTATGGTACATTCACACATTGGAATATCATGCAGCACTCAGGAGCAAGGATTTAATAAAATACTGTATTATATGGGAGAGGCTGGAGAGCATCATGCTGAGTGAACTAACTCAGTCTCATAAGGACAAATACTGCGTAAGACCTTTGTTGTAAAAATAGAAGGATAACTAGTACAATGGGTATGAAGGTCCATGAGGAGAAGGAGAAGGGACAGGGAGGCTGAAGGTGGGTAGGGGAGAAATCACAGGGTTGTAGAATCTGATGGGCAGAGGGAGGGAGTAAAGGAAATGGGAAAGATCCAGCAAGGACTTGAAAAGATGGTAGGCATAAATCAATAGTGATTAATTTTATAAAGCACAATGTATGAGAATGATTATATAACAGAATGTGAATGAAGGAAAATGTGAAACAACGTATATGAATTTATATGGAAACACTCTAGGCACCCGCAGCCAGGAAGTCAAAAAACGTATTGTGATGGGAAAGTTTGCTGTTAGGGACCTCTCCAGGGACTAAGGTGTATCTGATACAGGTTATGGTCTTTGCAATCACTTGTTATGCATCAGAGAGTTGGACAATGACTAGGGAGGATAGAAGGAGAATTGATGCCTTTGAGCTGTGGTGCTGGAGAAGAGTATTGAATGTACCATGGACTGCCAAGAAAACAAACAGATTCATCGTAGAGAGGATTAAACCAGGCTGCTACTTGGAGGCAAGGATTCTGGGGCTTCATCTGACATACTTTGGACATGTTGTAAGGAGAGGCAGGTCCTTGGAGAGGGACATCATGCTTGGTAGGGTTGAGGGACGGTGCAGGAGGGGAAGACCCTCTGTGAGGTGGATTGATTCAGTGACTGGGGTAATCGGGATGGGTGTGTCAGAGGCAGTGTGATTGGCACAGGACAGAGCAGAGTTTAGGGTTGTTGTATGTTAGGGTCGCTATGAGTCACAAGCAACTTGACGGCACATAACAACAACAATATAAAATTTAAAAAAATGAGACTACCGCCAAGTAACTCGTGTGGGCATTTATACTCTGTCACATTGGGACACTGTGGAAATTAACCCAATGGCGATCACAGGCACATAGTGTCTCTGCCCTGCCAGTGGAAGCTAGATAGACATGCTTTGGAGATTTTCTTTGTGTTGGTTCATCTGTGCCAACTTTCTCTACAACCCACTCCTTTTCCAGAGTTGACTGGCGCCGTCGCCTACACTGTTCACCCTCCGACCCTTCAGCTAGGAGCCACGCATATACGGAGCACCTACTAGGAACGGCCTCCACACTGAGTGCTGGCTACACCAACTGACCAGGCCTCACTCTCCGCTGTAGCTGCTCCAGCCCAGAGGGTGGCTGGGCCCAGCCTCCGGCTTCTGTAAGGTCCAGTGCTGGAGAGCACACAGGGTGTCTGCTGGGGTGGGGGCCGGACTAGAAAAAGCCTTCTGAGAGGAGATGGACGCTGAGGTGAGCTCCAAAGAATGAACTGATGCTTCGTAGGCCAAGAACGGGGGTGGGGGCATTCCAGTAAGAGGAAACTTTGAGATAAAGGAAAACAAAAAGAAAGAAAAACGCAGCATGGTATGCGCTGGTCGTGTGTGGGAGACTCAGGCTCTTCTGGCATTTATTAGAATATTAAGCAGGGTCAGATGACAGAGGAAAGGGTGGACCTTTTAAGGCATTTGGAATTTGTCCGCAGGCTCCAGCACACCCTCCCTCAGGGGTCTTAGTGACTCTTTTAAGCCAGCATTTTGGTATTTAGAGAAGGTAGCTGGTGGAAAGTGGGCGTTGTGATTGGAAAGTGGGGTGGGGTCCAGAGCCAGTGGGATGATAGGAAGCTTTTGTGAGTATTTGAGGCCAGCACTGATAAAGATCTGCCTTCCAGAACTCAGCTGCATAGATAGCACAGGGATGGGAGGAAGAGAGGGAAGAAAGGCAGAAGGGCTGGGCTGGGGTGGAGCTGTGGAAGAGTGGTTAGAGTGCTCTAGGACTTTTAGCTGGAGTGGCTGGGTGAATGTGAGGCCTGTAAGTGAGGACCCTACTGGTTAAAGTCTGAGTGGGAGGTAGCAGGAAGGGAGAGGGGGTGCATCTGAGATGCATCAGTATCAGGACACTAGAATTGTTGCTGGGCCACCTGAGGGGACCACCCAGGAAGCAGTAAGGTGGCAGGCCATGCAACAGGGAGGAGGATCTAACAGCTAGATTGCTCCCTCTCCTCCTGTGTCCAGCACATCACCAAGACCTGCTTCTCTGCCTTCCTGAGCCGTTTAATCTACCCTTCCCAGACCCCACAGCCCAAGCTGGCATCACAGGCCTGCACCATGTGCTGCTATGCAGGTCCTCTGAGCTCAGAGGGGCCCCAAACACTGCTGCCCACTGGCCATAATGCACCTGCCCCCTTGTTTCACCCCTTCCTCCCATCTTCCACACCCCTGCCCAGGTCCAGGCTCTTGAGATCCTCAATTTTTAGACAAGGGACTTAGCCTTTTCACTTTGTACAGGGCTTTTTAAATTATGCAGTGGGATCTGCCTGTGACTGTCATTAAAATAACACTGAACCAAAAATCAGTTGTTGTGAAGTTGGCCATGACTCATGGCCACTGTACTGTGTAAAGTAGCTCTGTGCTCCATAGAGTATTTGGGGCCTGGCTGTTCACAAATAGATTGCCACTCATTTCTTCTGAGGTACCATGGCGTGAACTCAAACTTCCAGCTTTTCAATGAGCAGTGGAGCTTGTTAATCATTTAAAGCACCCAGGGACTCCAGTTAGGGTCCCACTCTCTCTGCCCTTGACCCCACCCACAATGCCATCTTGATCCCCAGCCCTTCCAGCTCTCATCCTTTGTAAAGCCGTCTTCCTAAGCGTAGATCCACTGGGTCTTCTCCTAAGTCTACTCATTGACAAAGTCCAAAGTGCACAGTGGGACACAGTTGGTCCTAATGTACCTGTCCCTCTGTTTCTTTGCTTCCCCCCTGTCTTTCCACCCCTACCCAGGCCCAGGCTTACCTCCCCACAATGGCTAAGTTTGCTGAGTATTTTGCAGGACCCTCCGTTCCTTTGTGTAAGGAATCCTTCACCTTCACACCCCAGCTTCAGAGCTACTCTTGCACCGCCAAGGTGAGGTCCCTTCACCTCCCAGGTGCCCCCTCTAACAGTTTCCATATCTCCGTAGAACCGTCATATCTTCCCATCTGCCAGGCTTATCCTCTCTGTCTTCATATTAGCCAGCAGGACTCCTAGGCCA